TAATTCGAATAGATGTAAATTATTTGCAATAGTTTACTGTAAAGTTTACAAGAACATAACTTCATGGATCCCTAGAACTGTGACAAATCTGATTAGATATCATTTTGTATTCAATGTATAAGACATTTCAGTTATTATCATATTCAAAATATGGTAAGGATCAAACTAGACTATAAATAGCTCAGTTTTACAAGCGATCAATAACAACATCAATAGATTAATGATAACATCTCCGTCTGTTTGTAATACTGACACGAATCCGTATACCATACAGGCATTTAAGTCTTCGAGTTCTCATACATGGATTAGTGATGTGTCAGTCATTGAACATCTATAGTAGATGTAGGACAGCCATCAATCAGAAGAGGGCATTGCATGAACTTTTCGTCCAATTATTGGACTACATTTCAGTGCGCACGACCTTGGAACCGGAAATCGAAACCAGAACCACTGTGCCGTCATCCAATCGAATACATGTCTGACTTCAATCAATCTATGGTATTGCTTGGCTATCTTCCACTGTCTGCGTTGGTAGATTCCTCATATTAAAATGTAATTCACTGATATAACCTAATCGGTTTAATGAGTTTCTGACTGTATTGATATTTACTTCGTTTTTAAATGAATACAGGAAAATACTATCAGCATCGAAGATTTGATCATTGATATACTTTTTATTACGAGATAACACAAAAAATGAATAGCGGGAATATATATTCAGTTTTTTCATCTGGTAAATAAAAGTGTAAATATTCATGCATTTCGTTTCTTTTAGAAAATATTTGTATATTATACAAACAGTCACTATATGTAAATACAATATATGTAAATAGTCTGTGTTTATGAAAAAATCTGTTTCCGGTTACATGGAAGAGATTGATACCAATAATCTTCAACACATTTGATTCATGATCGGAAAAATCACTTTTCTTTAAACATTTCAATCGGCTAGAAACAAAGAAATATATAGAATATAAGAAGTATGGCTAACACTGAAAGCTATAACACGAGTTTCAGCCTATATGATTCGCCACCTTAATTTACCTATAATATCAGCGTTGATGTTCATTTCTGTGTCTAAACCCAGTGCCTTTCAGTCTAAACGCTCAATGAATCATCCATATAGCTGCTGAGTTCAATTGAATATTCATAAGAAGTATGAGTTTTATTTGTAGTTTGACAGGTCTATATATATATATATATATATATATATATATATATATATATATATATATATATATATATATATATATATATATATATATATAAATTATTCATTGTTGTTTAATTATTCAGTCATTTTGACCTACAGTACAGTTGACCTTATTTGTGTCATGTTCGCTAACCATATTTTTTTGAATGACCACTAATTTAGTAGAGAAAAATTTCCTCTGTACAGTAGATCATTTGGATTTGTAAAAATCCATATAATTTGAAGGTTATTCTAACTGTGAACTGATGTCACCTGAAGAACTATTAAAAATTTACGAATAGCTGAAAATTTGTCCTATGATAGTTTATGATTTCTAACATCATCCCTCATATATTTTGGCTTACTTGATATAGAATCCTAACTGAGGTTTCGGATTGAGGAATAACTCTCCAGGTAATTTAGATACTCTCCTTTCCCAGTTAAAATCCAAAACAAGTGATTTGGGTAACTAACAGTTTTAATATTAATCATAAATATAAATATGCATCGTTACCTAAACAATATTACCGATTAGTTGTTCCTCCCACGATTGTACAATTAATCGATCAATAATGCAAATAAAAGTTATTCTCTCTCTCCTGGATAGATCAGATTCGTTCGACTGATGATATTTGGTTGCTATATGACACAGAGTGTTTTCGATTCTGGAAGAGTGTTCCAATTCACAATCAAAATGCACAATTCCAGTTAGTGCAAACGCTCCAACCAACAGAGGAACAAATCAATATGTCTGTTGCCATAACTAAGTATCAGTTTAAACGACATAATGCAGTTCAGAAAGAAACTTGGAAACTTAGTAAAGGCACAAAAAATAGAAACTATAATAAAATATAGACATTATCACCTCAAAATGGAATTGAACAGATTAACAAAATGTAGAGCTGAAGCAAGCAATAAGGACACGGTGGGATTTTCACAAACAAAAATGGATCTTACACTTGATAAATATCCTTAAGGTATAATGCTGCAAATAAAATTTATTGAGAGGAAAATATAATAACCTATGGAAAATATGAATGTACAATTTATAACTGATAAATAATACATAAATTGTTTAGTCTAAAGTTCATGTTTACATTTACTTGATCTTTAATAATCATTTTGTAAAATATGAATTTATCTCAACATTTCATAACCGAATTGACAATTAAACCATGATGAGTTGATCAAACAAATTACAAATTAAGTTTTACAGCTAAATGTATTATTATTTTTAAAAAAAAAAAGTTTTACTGCAGATAATTATATATATTTCACAAATCAACCTACTCTTACTAAAATATCTAATGAAAACCATCAAACACTGAATCTTCGTTTCATCCAAATAAAAACTACTCACCTTTGAGCATCTATCAGCTCATCAAAATTTTGAATCATTCTGCCTCCTAGAATTTGACTTATTTGATCGGTTATTTGCTTGTTTTCTCATGTAAACGGTTTGATCAATGATTTTACTTCCATCTTGGTGGTTGAAATCTTAATAAATCAACTAATCTTAATAGAAAGTTAACGTGCATTTGGACAGAAGTAGCAACATAATATTGTAAATAATGTAAGGAGTGTCTGAATATTGAAATGCATAGAGTAATCAGAGTATGTCAGAGACCAGAAGAGGTGTGAGAGAAGTCAGTTGATCACTTGCTTGCACTATATATATATATATATATATATATATATATATATATATATATATACATATGTATACTCTGATTACTCTCTGTATATAAATATATTACAACTGCCGTTGACTTCTACGTACGTTACAAAAACACATCTGAGCTTTTCGTAACTTCCTTCATTTTACTCATTAATAATACGGTATTATTTATTGAACTATTACACTTATCTTCTTCTTTTGGGATGGATAGAATTTCTCCTTGTAGCTTTCCAGTCATATCTGCAGCATACAAACCTCACATACGCTCTCTAATTCGAAAAGTTAAATCGTTTCCCGCTCGAATTCACGAACACTATTTTTGAGTGCTTCTAGGGAAAGAAACACTGTGACTGTGACCACCTTTTAACTTGAATGTGCCGTGGAAATAGCGTGATCATCCAAGCTCATTGTTATCGAAATATTCGTTATCGCATAGCTTACTGAGTCTTATGTCAAAAGTGAACCCATAATAAACTCTAGGATCACTTTTAGAACTAGGGAAAGGTGTGAGAAAAGTTCAGTTGGTGCATGGGTTACGTGAGAATCCTAAATTTAAGTTACAGTATGTTTTATTTTATTTTCAAAAGTTTATTAACAAATTTATCTTTTAAGTACAAAATTAAGATTTCATTCAGACAACCAAAGCATTTCACATTACTGAATGTTTGTTAACTTAGACGGCGCACAGTGTAATAAAGTTTTTATCGCCCAAAAAGTTCAGTGTATCAGGTGTACAGGTCAACAGACACTTCGGTTCTGTTTTGAACTGTTGTACCCGATTATATGAAGTGTTTTAAATAATACTTAGGCCTGTTTCCCAATTTCACTGTATCTACATTTGCATCATAGGATAAGTACTTTTGGTGAACGATAAAGTAATACAGAAGAGTACTAGGTCAAGGTCAGCTTATTTTTAAAACAGATACTAGTATAATTTAAATGAGTAAAAATTCCGTTTAGATAAAGGTGGAGTGGTTTAGTGTTATGAAGTATATTTTGTAATTAGTCGAATGTATCAACAGGATTAACAGTTGTCATTGTTGTGTAGTTTCAGTTTCATTGTCATATAAACTTGTTGACGTATGAAAGTGCCAGTAACAAAATTTAGTCAGTAACTAAATGAATGGTCAGCTGTTGAATAAGGCAACATAACACTAAAGTGCATTGGTATGAGTTACACCTTTACATAAATAGACAGATAGATAGATAGATAGATAGATACACTATATTATTTAAAAAAAAACCTGAATGAAAAGAAATGATGTGAAAAAATAACAGAAATAAATTGCATCGGATATGGTTATGTATCTTTGAGCTTGATGATAATTTGAAGTTCTTGCACATTACCCATAGTCACAGATTTATTATTATTATTACTATAAATGTTCACCTAATCTATATTTTGTAAGCAATAAATATTTCGTTATTCGGTTGTTTGTGATCAATAAGTGAAAAGGATGCATTTTAATTCCAGTGAATGTACAGTTAGACAATGTACTGGTAATTAATAAAAGTAAGAACCAGATAATTGAACTGTATAACATCAGCTTGCAAAAATATTTAAGATAAAATTAAATGTTTGTTCTATAATAATAAATTCTATAAAGATCATACACATTGAACGCAATCGATGAATGCAACTTCAGAGTAATTTTTTTAAAACATCAAGCAAACTAAAAATACAATCTCGTTCAACTTAAAGGCATATTAACGAATGATTCACAATTTAATTGTGTTTACAGAGTAAAGTGTTTAGACTGTGTAGTTATATACATCAGACAGAAACCAAGGTTAAAGCAAATGAACATTGTACAACTACTATTCGACCGAGAAAAAAAATCCAATTCAGAAACTAGAAAGGAATATGGAGTAGTGGTTTTATTGACAAGGAATTAGCTTTTCAACCATTAAGTCTGTGGTTTAAACCGAACACACCATTCTTCAATTTAGTAAACCAAGTGATAGTGGATAGTCCTTGTACAGATAAAATTTGGTTAAACTTGAGTCTAAACATGGGGATTGATTTGTAACTAGAACAAATTCATCATGAAAATAATTCTTTCCAGTGTGGATCTTATTCAGAATACTTGATTGATTTTTGTAACATTTGTTGATTTTTTCCATCGGTAGGGGTTTCATTCGACGAAAACGATCATTGAAAACAAGAAGAAATCCTAAATACTTGTACTGCTCTAGTTATTCAAAAGCAAAACCTATTAATCATTGCTATATTAAAGCTAATAATTCAGGTTATTGGTCACCCGTTAGGCCAAAACATAGCAACTCATTTTCAGTATGTTCTGAGGGTCAATCATTGAATTATAATCATCACAATCATCGAATAACTTCTGCTTCATTGTCAAATCAATGCAATCCAATATTCAATTCATCACAATCTCGTTTTTATGGTACAAAAGATTCAAATTCTATGCATCGTCAGTGTAATTCATCAAACAATATAATTATTCATAATCATCATCAAGGTGAATTATATGAAACAAAAGATTACATGACCACTGACTGTTTAAAATATTCTAAACGAATCAATAATGCAAAATCAACACATCATAAACCGTTTACTATGACATCAATGTATCCGGATTTTCCAAAGTTAATAATGTAAGCAAATTTATTTTCATGAATTATGACATTTCCAATTGTAGCCTGGATGAATGGAACACGTTTTTGGAAACAGTAAATTACATCTCCATGTATGCCATTGTTACAAATAACACTAAGTCTATCTAGTAATTAAGCAGTTGAGCGCAATTAAATATTATCCATTGATCTTTTCTACTGGGACTCACGTTTCAAACAAACGATGTGATTCCACTATTGATAATATTTTGAAAACTGACAGTCTTCAGAGTCAGTCAGTCATTAGTAAATTTCTATTTTTAACTAAACCGATCTTTGCTTTCAAAAGAAAGTATGATAACATAATATAACCTACCAGTTGGGAATCAGCATATGATAGTAATCTTCATACTATGTACTCTATATATATTCTCAATAGTTTTATTTCATAATTAGATTAATGATTCAGATTGAATCATAATCAATCTTCATGGTTTGGTTTTCATTATGGGTAGTGCATTATATTTTTGAGGAAGCTTTAAACGTTCATTTCCTTTCAGAATTAAAAGGCGTTTTTCCTTGTACAATAAACATGTTAACATAACTACAGTAGAAATGATTATATATCAGTATGAAACGTAAATTAAAAGTTATCTTAATATTTTACATGCAACCAAGTAGTATAACACATTAACAAACCTTACTTTTTGCTGCTTTATAGATTTGGAAACATATTTTCTTACATAATGCATTTTATCTTGTTGTTTTACAGGCCACCGAAACGATCAAATCCTTCAAATAAAGTAAATTCACACAATATAACAAATGAAAATGAAGTTACAGATTCAGAGACTCCTACCACTGAATTTACTGAAAGCTCAAAATCACACAGAAGTACATCACAGATTAATGTTTGTCGAAAAGGCAGAAGTTTAAGCCCAGTCGATTTAGATGATTCTAGAGATTCTAAATTTGTCTACAATAAAAAACCACGTTTTTCATTAGCTGAATCTAATGAACTGTGTGATAAAGCTATTGAGAATAATCCATCGTCTGGATTTCATGATGTGGTAAGCTGAATCAATTGAATCATAAAAATGACTTTTTTTTTAAAATTTAATAAACTTAAATTATCTATTCGGTAAATCTATTGAAATTATTTTACATGGTGATGAACGCAATAGCTAAAAAAAAACAATAAAAATAAGATTTCGAATAGATTATTAGTTTTTGATAATCACACCAAATTCTAATCCACTGAAAGATTTCAATTAAATCTGTTCACCTGACATTAACAATCACTGAGAATAAATGAATTTTCAGATTTCTTTACAGAATAAGTTTCGTATGATGAAAAAGAGAAATGAAGCAAACACCAGCGATCATTTTGAAAATAACAGATGAGTACAACTACAATAATTTGATATGTTACAACTGTACTTATTCTGACTAATAAATTCACATTATTTATACCGAATATATGTGAAACAACATGTAATTTTGAAATGTGACTTTTATCGATAAATAAATTACCTTTGTACAGAATATTTTGTTGAACTTTCATTGTAGTCATTAGTAGGATAGTTTTGATGATCATGATAGTAAATACGAGACTTTCAAGTGCGGCGATACTTCATATTCTCTTCGGAAAGATTTGGGAGGAAGAATAAGTGTCAACAGACTGAAAAGATACCGAAGAAAAGCTAACTCAGCAAGTGTGAGAACTAGAGAGACATCATTCTACTCTCAGTACCGGGTAACGTCTTCAACAGCATGTTGTTAAACAAGATGAAGCATTCTGTAAGCACCAAACTTCGAGATCAGTAGGCTGGATTCCGTCAAAATTGATCAAATTCCAACTAGATCTCTACAATATGGACCATTGTGAAACAATCAGTTGAATAACTAACACCATTCTGCATCAACTTCATTTACTACAAGAGAGCATTTGATGGCGTGGACAGGATGATATTATGGACAATGCTGCGACAATACGTCGTGCCTGAGAAGACAATCAACATCATATGGAGTTCTTACGATGGATTAAACTGCAATATCGTGCATGGAGGGCAGGTCACAGACTCGTTCCAAGTGAAGACGTGACAGGAGACGTTGTTTACTCTCACCCTTTCCCATTCTTCTGGTCATTTACTGGATTATGGAGGCGTCAACATCTGAGGGGAAGCACGAAATAGAGTTGACAGCTAATATTCATTCGGACAATCTAGACCTCAAGAATGAACTAGCTCTTCTGTCGCACACGCGACGACAAATGTAACAGAAGATGACTAGTGTAGCAGCAGGCAACAAGCAAATCCTCCGACACAACACAAAGTGAGCCAACCAAAACACACTTGACAGAAAAGCTTTGGAGAATGTAGAAACGTTTACATATGTAACATTTGGTGAAAAACCTTTCGTCCACATAAAATTCCACAATAACTAATCAGTAACGTGTTCTACATGGAACTTGCATCTAGTGGCTTTGATTTCGTGAAGGGATTCCGGTACTCATTACTAAGGGATATCGTGAACTCGGTTTCCGGCTTTATCTGCCTCTCAGCAATATTCCATTCACCATCAGCTCATCATGAAAGTACTTTCAAATAATGTAAAATATATTAAAAAAAACTATCCGACTATTTTATATATGTTGCATTCATATGATCGATTGATTCACTACTGCATGACTGAATAGCAGTCGACATTTTATCATTATTTTAAATATAGTAAGTAAACTATGAATACACTGAAATAAGATTAATTTTCTTTGCTAAGTTTCATCTTAGTTCAGTAAGTAAAAACATGATTGATTAGGAGATTTTTGAAAAATTACTGTGGATCTGAATTTCAAGGAGAGTATCACTTCTTCCATGACTAGAAGATGTTTCTTTTGATGAGTGTTAACATAGCTTGACACCTAGAGGGATCACTTTATGTTTACTGCCTCCAATCATTGAACATCAAATTATTTTTCTTTTGTTATTTGTTGATAAGTTAATTTTTCTCCATATTTTTTTTTCTCATACTTGCAGATTGTAGACTGTAGTTCACTTGAAAGTGCTATCAGTTATCCAGTTCAAAACGCTTATTCACATTTGAGTGATAATAAAAATCTAGATGGCTCATTAGAATGCCAAATATATCAGAGTTTAATGTCAGTTTACCTAAATGATGTCCAGAAAAATAAAACTACCAATCATACAGTTGTGACTAGTACTATTACTACTACTACTGCTACTGTCAACATCAGTAATATTATTAATGGGAGCAACACTAGTAGTAATAATTACAGTACCTGTTTGGATAATAATCATCACAACAATGTTAACACATTATCCCCTTTAAATATTCCAAAAATTGCTACAATCATTTGCGGCGATGAAATTTATGATAACAAAAAGATGAATTCATCTGAAAGTAACCAGCCTACCATTCCTATGAGTACTGATAACATTTGTATTGAACAGTATATTAACTTCAACTCTGATCTTCCATTGCCAGTGATAAAAAATAAACGTTCTGTTCAATGTTTGTTTAGTGCAAATAAATATAATCATAAAAGATATATTCAACGTAGCAATTCAATAAGCATTGATGACATTTATGATGATGATGATGATGATCATGTTGTCGATGATGATGATGTTGATGAGAATCGCATCGGAAACAACGGCATTATTATTGATACTAAACAAGATATTGATGAACGACGTTTAAGGCATGGTATAAATATCACTGCCAGAAAATCATCAATTAATAGGCGGATAAACAGAACCATTAGGAGTAGTAATAACATTAATATTGATGAGAATACTTGTAATCATAATTTAAAATTTTTACTGTGTCATACAAGTGAATGTAAAAGTTGTGTAAATTTACAAGCGTATAAATTATTACACGATCGTTGCCGTAATTCAAGTGGTGGATCAACTGTTAGTCAAATTCCAAGATCAGATTTACCAGATGTCTACTTAAATGTAAGTTATCAGTAGATGCTGATAATATACCATTAAATTTGGTTCTTTGTCTTCATAAGAGACGTTGAAAATGCTTATATCTAAATTACATGGGATTTTGAAGGAAAAGATACTGGGTTAGAGCTCCGATGTAAACATCAACACTTGGGTTCAGATATATTCATCTGATGAGTTCAAAATTGGACGAAACTTATGTCCCAGATTTGACCAGTAACTCACTAACCAATTCCGCTTACAGAAAATTTAATAAGGTTGAAGAAGGATATATATATATATTTGATAGAATAAATCGATTAAACTACACAATTCATGGAATGCAACTCTGTCAAAATATAAAACAGATATAGAATACATACTTGAAATAACTAACTCACACAAATATTCTGTTATTAGCCGTAATTATTTGATTTAATTGATTAAGTTAACAAATAACATATGCATCCGCTAACCAAATAATGAATAACTGTCGACAATAGTTTTCCTGACACTATTCCATTATTCGACAATCTAAAAGAAATATGTAATGAAGGAATGTAAAACTATCGGAATTCCTTCTGAGCATAATTTATATCCCGTCGAGATTGTGTTCGTACAGTAATTTATCGATTTAATCAGTTGCACAAGTAACTCAGCTAAAATGCAGTTACGCATAAAGCTTTACAAATCGATGTATCAAGATATAATGTTGAACCCGTTTTATTCCTTTTTCTCTTCGGTTTGTACAAATTCGTGGACATTTTACAAAAGAGTTGGGTTGTGTTAAGACTGGTACCGGGGAAACTTAATCACAGTACAATCATATTTAAAATAAAAGTGTTGGCTAAATTAGGATACAGGCTTTCTTTAACTCATCAGTAGACATTAGGCACATGTTAGAGCGTCTTCTCGTACACATCGACTTGAAGATAGGATGGGACTTTAGGTACAAATTATTCTTTGAAGATTCTTATCAGGAAGGAGTAGTGTGTTGATATGATTCATTTATTAATCGTCTTTGGTTGATTATTCCCACAAACAAATTACTTTTATAGATTTGCCTACTTACAATTTGTTAGTAGCATGATAACATTCCTAAAACATAACCGCACAATATTCATTAATTGATCACCTTTTCTGATATTTTCTCATGACAGCCGCCATCAATGTCGACTCTACAATCTCAAAGAAGCAGTTTATGTGGTAGAAGTAGGATGGAGCTGTTATATGTGGATAATGAGCTGGACAGAACTGAAAACTCTGGATGCAATCATAGTACGGATGAACTGAATGGTGCAAAAAATTTGTCGAATATTCTTGATTGCAATCACTATTTCACTGTGCAGAGTAAAAATGAAGGTAGAGGGAGTTGGAACTTAGCTGATGAGCTCGTTATTTTTCCTCAACCTCAAACTCTTGGATTAGTACGTAATCAAACATTCAGTGCAAAGAGTGCATATCATCAAAATTTGCCTCAATCATCTTCGAATTTGACCCCACTCTTTTTCAAACCATATCAACTAATTGATGATAATTTCGGTAACTTACCAGTTAAAGATAAAGAGCATAATATTAGTATACAACAACAACTTAGGAGAGCATTAAGCTTATCGACTAAGCGTAAATCTCCTCGTTCATTAAATGCAGAAATTCAATCCATCATGGATAAACACTATGAAATGACAGGAATTAAAATGACAATCGGTAGTGGATCATCACAAAAGAATTCACTAACTACCAAGTCTTATATGAATTTATTTCGATTGCAAGGAGGCAATAAAATGCAATCACCGAAGCCGAGAGTAAGTTTCAAACGTATGGTTTTTCTGTGTTATCACCAATTACATCAGTCGATTTTACATATGTTATATATATATATATATATATATATATATATATATATATATATATTAAAGAAAATACAACTTATTTTACAAATTGTTGGCAGATACAAGCAGATTGGAAAGTATTTTAATCTCATTAATAACACCATAGTTTTCTATAAATGCTTAACTTATTTTACGCCTTTGTAATAAGTCCTAAGATTGAGTAAAAAGCTAAACGTAAATTATGTACTTTCCTAAAAATAAGATAAACACATGAAATCATAACGCTGTGTGATATTTAAAGTCACTTTAGTTTCATGTGGATGTATCTTACTACCTGCTGGTTTTATAATTCGAGACATGTTCATTTAATGATAGGGAAGTAGGACGAATAATGCTATAAATGGTGTAATCCACATAATGCTCAAAATATTCTTGATTTTAAGTCTTATCATAAGCAGAAAGTATAGTAGTTTTGAGGTTGAATATACACACAACTAGTTATGTACAGATTAGTGGATTGATATTAAATACCAAATACATTTGCAAATAACTGAAATTGATTATGAATCTATATTACTTGTGTGCTTTAACAGAGCTGTCGTTAAAGTTGAACTGCTAGATAATCATACTTGGTTCAGAAGTTTATGGATTATAACTCAGCTTAAAAAATGGTTTCATCACGAATATATATCTTTTCAATGATCAATATATCTATGGAGTATTAAATACATGTTTAATGTGGTGTTTATAAAGTCGTGTACACCTACCCATAACGCTTGTAAGGAACAAACTCGAAACCTATAATTCCTATTCCTATAGCACAATCGGCAAACCACTGGGTTGCAACTCAGTAGCTAGCGAATTCGGTTTCATTCAGCTTCACATCACCATCGAAAGGTAAATGGCTGATTTATGAAAAAGTTTTGCTCTACTAGTCAAGTTTTCTCACTAGGAAATCAGGAATCCATCTATCAGTCAGTCATTTAATTTGAATAACTGGTCTTTTGTGGGTAAGTGACCATTGTTCTGGTTTTTCACTCAAGCCAATTTTAGCAATTGGAATAATTGGCTCATAGAAACAGTATAACTTGTTCACGAGCATGGTAAAAATAGTGACCATTAACAATTTAATAACCAACAAATTTTCCAACAGAAATCACATTAACGCATTGAGTGATTTAGTGACAGCTTAAACAGAATCTTTGTAAAATAGTCTGTAATCTATCCAATGAGCCATATGCAAACTCATTAATGTATCAATAGATCAAATTGATGAAATTTATTAAGTGAGAATCCACTTTCCATGTGAATCAAAGTCATCCACGTGTTATTGACCCCAATCTACCTAACAAATAAACAAACAAACGAACCAAACTGTTAACATTACGCTAAGCTTTAAAATTGACGATTCACTCTGAATATTTAGTTCTGTTCATTATGTATTCTAATGTTCAATAAGTATATCACAAAACTCGGTGATATAACGTATGAACAATTGTTCAATTTCACTTGACTGATTTTACTACCATAGTTTATGCATCGAAACTAAAATGATGTTTATAATTAAATTTTGCTTGTCGAATTCCCATGTGACAACTCTAATTCTCAATAAATAATACAATACAAACATCATGCTTGTTGAACAAATCAAGATAATGGTTTTTCATTTTTAGAGTGAACAGTACAAAGTTTCTGTTCCAATGTAAATCTAAACACTAGGATAGAGGTATATTCAACTCTCGAATCCCAAACATAGTAAAATGCTCAGCCTAAATTCTAACTGTTAGCCATGATTTCTCTATTCTAAATATGAGAAAATTTATTTAACTTTCATAATCTTAGATCTTTCTCTTTTTTTTTCACCTCATCAAGAAACGTCGATGCAGTTGGACATTTACTAAAGATATTACTCATGAATTTCAGACTGGTTTAAAAAATGTCTCAAGTGCACTACATTTGGATTGTTCCACTTTTGATCTTTTTCAAAAATTCAAACATAATCGAGAAAAACCATCTGTGTTTGAATCGTTATCTATGACTGCTTTACCTTGTCTTATACCATTAAGACCACGTATTCGATCCGATGTGACCAACGATATGACTGTTATCAATGAAGAATTTATTGGTCGTTCTGATTTGAACAATATTAAACTGATCGATTTCAAACGAAATAGTCTGGGGACTGACGATAAAAATATAACCATATTTGAAATACAAAAAAATATTAGACTTGTTAAAAGTAACTGGAATTTAACTAATGTATGATTAATTTTGTAATATATATGTTTTATGATAAATGTATCTCAATTACGTTTATTTGAAAAACCAACTGTAGAATTATACAAAATCCGTACAATGTTTCACAGTGATATTTGATATATTGTTATTCAACTTGTTCATAGATTTAATGAGTGGCTGCTTTAATGCTGTATTAAACAGGCATATTTTTCCTCGTAACATTTTTTTATTCTGTGGATTTCATTTACTTTTGTAAAGAATTTTCAGAGAAAAACATGAAATTTGAAATTATCATCATATTATTTTTATATGATGGGAAGTGAAGAGTTTGTGTTGACGATGAAGAAACCAAGAAATCCAGTCCTTTGATATCTTTGTGCTATTTGTGTTATAGACTTCATTGTAAACCAAGCTCAAATAGACAATTATTGAAATCAGAGAGGAATACGGCGATGGTTGGAGGTAATCTACAAGGAACTCTTCACCTAATTTCATGATATTTACTCGTCAAGAAGACGTACATGTAATCTTCTAGGAACTAATGACCCCTGGCTAATTCGATTTCTAGCCAGAACAGTCACCACTGAGTTATGACGGCTAAGACTGACCTCCAGCAGGATTTAAATATATTTCTTGGCATTCATTAGATTTTACCGATCAAATTGTGGTGTGGTCACTAGTTTAAATAACTCCGGAGTCAACAGTTTTCTGTTTAATATCTCCAACTTTAACATAGTACGAATCACTTTAATAGGTGACAACATTGCAGAAGTATAGATATATTTCAAGATGGTGGAGAAGATTTGTAGCTCAGATGGATGGTTGTGGTGGTGTTGTTTGGTTCTCTGAGCTGGGTGTTTTGGTTGTGGAGCTTTCATTGTTCTTCTGAACAACATCATCAGCACAAACTTCAGATGATATATTTCAGTCAGAACTAAGAATGACTTAACATACACAACATTGATTACTATCTCATGATCAACCAGTGGTAAAAAAAGAGTGATGGATGTCTTGTTTTAGGTTTCTGCACTGAGACAAAGATTTCGTCAGAGCTAGAACAGAAGACCATCAGGCTTCAAGAAGTGGATAAAGTTAGACAGTTAGAACAGTTAGATACCAATACAATGATCTAGAGGCAATCCAGCTGTTATGAGACATGAAGGTCTTTGTTTCGGTCTCTAATGAGATCATGGTTTTGCACTGCTAGTGAGTTCTAAACTAGAATGTAACTGCTCTCTAAGTATTCTTGATTCCCAGTAGTTTACAAGTCAGTCCGTAGAGTCAACTACAAAAGTGAGACAGTTTTGCATTATGTATCTCATTTAAATTAACATTTAGACCGACGATAAAACGCTGTTCTTACTAATAACTTTTAAATTTGTTCAAAAACTGTATTCTTAAATATAGTAGGAAACAACAAATGCTATTCAACATGATGCATAGAACTGACCGAATGCTTCATTAAATAACTCTGTAAGTTATAAACTTGAATGATAGACTGATACTATCCACCGGTTGATTAGTACGTGTTATTTTTAATGCTAGAGAAGGTTATTATAGCATCCGCATAACACTGCAAATACCTCATAATGAATTTCAGTATAATTTCTTTCCATTTATACTAGAAGATATTACCATCAAATTACATTCTACATTGATTTCCATATTGTAAATTTTTAATTAACGTAAATAACGAATTGTTAATGTTTTGTGCTAACAAGTTTTACTCTTTGAACAGTGACATCGAACCGATCTGTAAAAAATAAGATTTACGACAAAAATGATCACATATACAGCAATACTTCTTTAGTACGTGTTGTTGATCAAGGAGAAATTTTGATAGACTATTCAGAATGTAGATGATTTATTTTGACAGATATTACATTAAATTACTTGTTGGTTAATCATGAATGCTGACAGTTTACTTCAGTGACTCATTTTTCGCAGTAATTATTATTATTATTATTATTATTATTATTACTAATGACCGAAGCTCACTTCTTCATTGAATCAACATCTTCAACTTCAATGTAAAACTGTCAAAAAATGAATATTTAGCTCATTGAGCAGGCATTGAATATTAACTTATTAAGATGGATTAAAATTTATTAAACCATCCATTGCAAGATTTTTATCCAATCGCCTATTCAATTGTTCGTACTCTTGTGCAACTTCACAATTGTAAACATATAAAAATAAAATTATATTTCATAAAAGTGTCAAACTTTCTATTGCTTAATTTATCTTCCAACAAATAGACGTAACTAGAGAACGTAAAAGAATAATAGTGATTGTTTATTGACTAACTTAATTCACAACAAATTTTGTTTACGATATTTTAAACCATTAGAAATTTCTCGGTTTTATTTAACACGTTCCTTCTAACGTGATAAGCATGCACACACACACACACACACAAATCTACAGAAATAAATCGGTATTATGGTAGTAACAATTCACTTAGCTAGTTCTAATGAATAAAACAGATTACATAGATAAAATGAACTCAATTTTAAATGATCAGTCTAAATTTCAAAAACTCAGCAACGTAAAGCAGTAAAAACTACTGACTATTTCACTCGAAGAATTGACAATTAAGGGGAATAATTACTCCTACCGTTCATGACTCACCTAAACGCACGGGATCGAACATACCACGTCTTTATGGTTTACCCAAAGTCCAGAAATCACACCTGCCTCTTCATCCAGATTTAGATAGGTATAATTCCCTATAGCATAAAACTGCGAAAAAGTTGTTTCTCGACTCATATCTCCTACACAAATTCATCATTAACAGAAACGTTAACGACGTTTTCAATTTCAAGGATAGAATACATGCATCTGAATGCGGAACGGATTCTTCTCTAGATTTTGCTTCTTTATTTATTAGTGTACCATTAACTGAGACAACCGACTTTGTGTGTGAACAATTAGCAGAAAAATAAATGGGTACTGGGTATTAAGAGATTAGTCTCAGAGAATTACTTTTGGAATGCACAATGAACATTATGGTGGACTTTTGTTCTCTGAGATGGAAAACATCATCAATACAAACTGCAGGTAGAATTGAAGCATTTGAATTTCTCCACGTATGACTCGTAGTTTGTCCTGTTGTCCTAGATTTTGATTGGTTGCCATTGAACTTTAACCTGTTATTATCTGTCTCTTTATTCTGATTGTATTCTCCTTTGATTTAGTTCTTGATCATGTTTTTGTCTATGATTTTTCTGACTGGTTGATAAATTGAATCAATGAGTTTGTTCATTGCTGGTTGACCTGAATGACAAGCTTCTAAAAATTCTCTAGTGTTCTCCAAAGGATGAAACTTCATCTTCGTCATCCACTAGAGCTACAAATTTTGTCCACTATCTCATCAATGAACGTTCGTTTCGTCTTTAATCACACATCATAGACAAACTGAGAGAATAGTGATGGGTTCATTTTTCTATACTATCCATGCTGACTTCTTTCTCGTAAAACTAGGAAACGGATCTCATAATGAGGTTATTGATAAGCTGGATTTTTATTGCCAATAAATTGATGATACTTCAATAATTGTGGATTAGATTATTGTTTAAAAAAATATCTCTTGTAGCAATTCGACATTTTATGCTCAACTATTAGATTTACGCGTGAAGAGGAGGTCGATAAAAAACTACACTTGCTTGAAGTTTTGTTAAACAAAAAAGTAAAACGATTCTACCAGTAGAAGTGTATGTCGAAAAAGTTCTTAGTCTAGCCAGTACATACATTACATGAGTTTTATACCTATTCATTACACAAAAGACCGAGTTAGTTGTCTTCAGGGTAGAGCTTGGAAGATATGTTCAGATGACACCATAAACAAAGAGCTGAAACTCATTCATAATATATATTGTTTGGACTGGGTTATCCATCAATTTTTCTTTGAAGCAACACTTACATACAATCAACAAGAAAATAGAGAAATCGCTGTTGAGTGAGATATTTCTCTTCCTGCAGCTACAGTTTAATAGAAATGTAACTATTAACATGCTGAATGAAGCAACAAAGAGGATGTTTAGTGCAGATAACCTATGTGCGTTCATAAGAAATTTGTAGGACCTCTATATCATCCTTGGCCTAATTCGCCTTAAGAAACGATTTCATTAATTTACTTTTCACAATTATTTCTCGTACTTATTGCCTGTTTCGTTTGTATTTCTTCAACATCCCTCGCCACTTTTTGCTTTCTACAAATATACGCCTCATTGTCCAAAACTTATCATCACGGCATCAATAATTCTACTGAGTATTATTCCACAGTCTAGTTTTCCAAGCCCAAGCTTAGCTGTTATCTTGACATGGTGGTTGGGCTTGCCTATCGTGTTAATCCAACCAGTCTAATGTTCTATGACAGTGTCTGTCAATGAAAGGAGTACCAGAGAAATACAGTAACTTTATACATGCTCTCTATTTGAATGCTACTGGTCAAGTGAGAGCTTATGGTGGAACTGATCACTTTAAGTAGTGTTCGTCAGGATCATCCACTTTCCCCCTTCTCATTCAACTTTGTCACCGACATGCTCTTACAGACGTCACTTTTATCGTCTGAATTTCCTGGAGTTGAACTATACCGGGAGATTTACTTGTCAACTTTAAATATGACGATGTTATACTCCTACTTGGCCGAGACGCTGGCAAAATGCAGAGTCTTTTGACTTCCCTCAGCAAAAATGCATGCATGTTCAGAATGTCATTCTCACCCTCGAAATGCAAAATATTGCTTCAGGATTAGATTTCATCGACACTTGAACTAATGATAGGGAGTGAAGTAGTTGAGCCTGTTGACCACTTCGCTTATCTCTAAAGTCTCATCATTGCTGATGGCCCGGGTTCCGACTAAATCTCAGCCAGCATACAGATCCCAATGATCGAACAATTTGTGAACACAGGTCATTCGATTAAAATGTATTCTGCTTCCAAACTCATCCACAAGGTGTATAGAAAACTCCTAAAGGCAGTTAACTGTTGTCTTCCTGGCATTGCCGAAGCACCTGCCAGACGTAGGGAAAAACCAAAGTT